CGCCCCTCACGCAGATCGGCGGGGTCAGAATCAAAGAACACATGGATTCGCCACATGTCTGAAATTCGGTGGCACCCCTCGCGCAGATCGGCGGGGTCAGGCTCCAAAAACAAGAAAGATTTGCTACATTTTCGAAATTTCCTGATCGGCGGGGTCAAGGTCCATCTTTTAAATTTCCGAGCACCCCTCGCGCAAATCGGCGGGGTCAAAGCCCAACAACGCAAAATGATTTGCCAAATCCCTGTCATTCGGTAGCACCCCGTCGCGCAGATCGGCGGGGCGAGGGCCCAAAAACGCATGGGATTTTTTTTTTTTTTTTTTTTGAAATTCGGTGGCGCCCCTCGCGCAGATCGGCGGGGCCAGGGTCCAAAAGCACAACGGATTTGCGACATTTCTGACGTTCGGTGGCACCCCCCGCGCAGATCGGCAGGGCCAGGGTCCAAGAACACAAATGATTTGTAACGTGTCTACAGGTCGGCGGCACCCCTCGCGCAGATCGGCAGAGTCGGAGTCCAAAAACACATGGGGTTGGCAACATTTCTGACATTCGGTGGCACCCCTCGCGCAGACCCGCATGGCCATGGCCCAAAAACAAAAAGGGTTTGCCACGTTTCTGAAATTCGGCGGCACCCCTCGCGCAGATCCGCAGGGTCAGGGTTGAAAAAACAAGCAGGTCCCGACACTGCTTCACGGCGAAGCCAAAACCTCATGTCTTCGCTCATCCACGGCCCATTCTCCAAGAGAGGGGGCCGGCGGCAGGGGGCGAAGCCCTTTCGGATTGACATGGGCAAGCAACGCGCGCGCCACTGCTCCCGCTGCGGCAGCGGCGGTGGCCAGCTCGGGAGGCAAACGCGACCGGGGCGCGCCCCTTCCAACGCGAAGGGCGAACGCGATGGCCCCAGCGAAAGCAACGGCCCACGTCGCGAGAGGGGCGCGAAATGCACGGGGAAAAAGGGGGGGCATTTCCAGCGACGGGCGCGCGCGGCCGCCCCATCGACGGGGGAAGATCTGCCGCGCGGAACGCGCGACAGGCGGATCGCGCGCGAATCTGCCTACCACGGCTAGCAATCAAGCTGGGCCCCTACTATCGGGCGCGAGATGCGTGGTCGGTGGCGCGGCTTGATCCAGCGCGCGCGCCGCGGTCGCCGCGTCTGGCGGCGCCGCCAGGCGGGCCGCGGTCGCGACGACGCGAAGACTGCGCGGGCCTGGCCAACGAGGGAGGAACGAACGACAAAGCGCGGAATGAAGCAGAGGGAGGACGGATCGCGCGCCGCGCCGCAGCGAATGGAACGCAAGCGCCCAACGCCAATAAGAACAACGCGCCCAACATGGATCGAAGCCCACACAGGGAAACGACGCGGGTCTAGTCGCGCCAAGGCACCCTATCCAGTAGAACAAGCATATGGCGAGGAATGCCCGAGGGATTTTTCTAACGAGTTCCACCGCGCAGCTTCCATGCCCGAGCACTGGTGCTGCGCGCGCCCGAGCAATCAAGGTCGGCGTCGCGCACGAGAGTGGCGCGCGCCCGCTCGCGGTCGACGGCGGCCCCGATGCCGCTCGGGCAGAGCTGGACATCCTCCTGCGCGAAGACGCCCGGGCCTCGGCGCAGCGCTACCGCCTGTCTCTGCAGCCGCCCCGACCACATGCATCGAGCGACGCGGCTCCTGGATCTGCGCTCCCAGTCGGCGTCTTACGCGGAGGCCACGGGGGCCGCGGCTGGGGCGCCCCTGCGTTTCGTTCACTTGGGTGCAGAAGCGCGCCGAGCAGAAGCAGCGCCCGGGATTCCAGCGCCCCCCGTCGGCTTCGCCGACGGAGCCGCGGCCGCCGCAGCCCAGGGCGCCAGGTCGCCAGTGGCGCAGGCGGCGCGCCCGCCCACTCGCCCGCCCTGCCGCGGGGGGCCGGAGGTCCGAGGTGGGCCCCGAGGGCCGTCGCGGCGCGGGCCCCCCGCGACCGCCGCCCGCTCGTGCTCGGCGCGCCACGAGTCGTCGTCGGACCCTTTCCCGCGCCAGCGCCCCGAGGTGGCGCTCGGGTCAGTCTAGAAGGAGCACGTCGAGGCGAGGGCTCGCATCCGCTGGCCAGACGGCCCCCAGCGGGTCATCTTCCTGGGCGCGGCCGAGAAGGGCGCCGAACGCGAAGCTTCGGCGCGGGATCTCGAGATCCACGTCCGCGGGCCCCGCGGCGAGGAATCTAACTTCGACGTCAGTTCGAGCGGGCCGCTGCCCTCTCCGAGGGTCAGCGGCGCTGGACGCCTGCCAGAAGGGTTTCCCAAGGAAGACGCCGCAGCGCCCGCTCCTCGGCGCCCGGGAGCTCGGCGCACCTGTGGTAGCCACCGCGGCGCCCCACATCGTGCAGGAGAAGCTTGCCCTCTGGCTTGCTGTACCTGTTAGCGGGCAGTTGCGCCCAGCCACGCAGCGCCAGCGGGGGCTGCTTCAAAGCCCTGGGCAACCAGCTGGTCCAGTGGCACTCTGAGGGTGCCGCCCCAGATGCGCGACTCTGAGGTGCCGCCTCAGATGCGCGACTCGGAGCATTGGAAGCGCTGGGGCCGCAGCAGCTCGCCTAGGCCGCCGCGGGGGCGCCCGGGCAGCGGGGGTCCGTTCGGGGCCAGCGGAGCGCACCCCTCCCCAGTCGAGTCGCTCGAGAACCCTAGCCGGAAGGGTTCTCCGAGTCTGGCGCCCCCATCGACGAGGATGCTGGCGAGGCTAGGGTAGAAGTCTACCTCGACGCCTGCATCAACGGCTCTGGCGACGCGGCCGCCATGCAAGACGTGGCCGCGGGCTTCGACGAGGAGGCGCACTTTGTCCCGGGGCAGCTCTACTGCTGCGCTCGGCAACTGGCCTTTACTGCAATCAGCATGGAGGATCGGGGTACCGAAGTTGGGAGCGCGGAGCGATGGGAATGGGAGCTCAGGGACACGTCCGCCAAGGCGGCTGGAGCTCCCCGCGCTCCCGCCGCCGATGCTTGGCCTGCGGATGCAGGGCGTGCCACGCCTGGCGCAGGCAGGGCTGCCCGTGGGGATGGTGCCGAGCGTCGTGGGACTGTTCGCCAACCGGGGCGCCTGCGGGCACACCGGCCTGATTCGCGCTGTTGGGCAACCTGCTCGGACTTCGCAGCGGGCGCCGGCGACGCCAAGCCCCTGACCGCCGAAGCCTGCGCACAGGCCCTTCCAGGCAGGGCAGGAGCAACAGCACCCCGGCAACGAGCGCATGCTCCACGTCATCGAGGGGCCTCGGCGGGACGACGACAAGGTGGCCCAGAAGGGGATGTTGGCCTGGATCCGACGGTCGGAGGAGCTCAGGAGCTGGGCGTCTACCCCGCGAGGGCGTGCGACACTCTCCCGGTGGAGGTGTGCGGCGCCCTCCGCGGCTGGAAGCTCCTCCACGGGCTGCGCCGCGCGTGCGAACACGCCAAGCACCTCATGCAGGCTTAGGTTGGGCATGTCCCTCTACAGGAGGAAAATTTAAAAATAGTTCAAGGAATAGTTGGTTGACGAGTTCCCCATGTTTTGGCAATGTTTGACTATTTGTTTGATCATGTTTCGTCTGCCTTGGATGATCCGCCTGTGGGAGGACACGCCCGACCGAAATGTAGGCCGTGCACTTCCCGACGGCCGTCTCGAACCAGATCGCCCACGCGCGGGGCCGCGCCCTTCGACTGGGGAGGCAAGGGCCACGTCGCTCCGACGAGCTGGCCTCCCTCCGTGGCCAGGCGCCCCTCGCTGCCGCGGGCAGGCCTGCGGCGCCTCCGCGCTGCCCTCGGACGTGAAGCCGGAGCCTCGCCAGGCGAGCCCCGTGAGCCGGATCGGCGGTCGGAAGGAATCGAATCGGCGGGAATCGGCGGCCGAGTCGGGAGAGGTCGGATCGGCGGAAGTCTGCAGGCCAGTGTGCCTCCACGGGTAAGTCTGGTCCCGAGTCGGAATCCCACCAGCCCTTCAGGGCGTGAGTGGTTTAGATCGTCCTCTCTGTTCGCAACCCCCTTCTTCCCCTTCGGGGAGGGGTTTACCCCTCCCCCTACCCCCTCGGAAGCCATCTAAATCGAATCAACTCGAATCGGAGACGTCGAAATGAGCCCTTCCTCGCCCGAGGAGTCCCCTGGTCTCCTCGGCGCAGGTCAGGTCCGGCAGGCGGAGAGCAGCATCGGCGCGCTCGGGCATGTCCACAGGAGGGCGAGCGAGCGCGGGTGGCTCCTGGCCCTGGAGGCCGCCCGCATCGCTCACGAGGACGACGGCGTCGGGTTCCCAGGACGTCGGATGGGGAGGAGGAGGCGGAGGCGGAGGCGGAGGAGGAGGAGGAGGAGGAGAAGGAGGAGGAGGAGGAGGAGGAGGAGGAGCACGAGGAGGAGAGGAGGAGGAGGAGGACAAATGAGGAGGAACAAAGAGGAGGAGAGGAGGGAGGAGGAGGAGGAGGAGGGGGAAGAGGAGGAGGAGGACGAGGACAAAGGAGAGGAAGAGGAGTAGGGGGAAAGGAGAGGAGAGGAGGGAGGGAGGAGGAGGAAGGAGGAGGAGGAGGAGGAGAGGAGGAGGAGGGTAGGAGGGGGAGGAGGAGGAGGAGGAGGAGGAGGAGGGGGTGGTGGTGGTGAAGCGATATCGGGCCGAATGTCTTACCTAAGACCACATAGCTGTGAGCGCGGGCAACATGCAGCCACGTGCGACCTATCGTGCGCAGGCAATGCGATTTAACTAAGCCCCCCCCAGACGAGGGGGAGCCCCAATTTGTCACTGATCGACCCCAGGATCGAGGCTACCACGAATTTCCCACAAGAAACGGGCCTCTGAGGCTCGGGGCCCAGGGCCCAACTCAAAAACGGATGGCGTAGGCTACAAGGTCCTCGAAGGAGGGGGGGGGAGGAGGAAGGCACGGGGGCTCGTGGTTCGTCGCTCGTCGTTCTGAACGTTCTGAACTCGTGGTTCGTCGCTCGTCGTCTCGTCGTCATTTCGTACTCTTCCCCAGAATTAGTGAAGACCGGGGATTTTTAACAGGGAGGAGGAAGGCACCGGGGGCGACCTCCTGGGACAGGCGCACGCCGTCGACGCGCGAGCGCAGCAGCTCCTGGCGGCCGTGGGGGGGCGCAGGCGCTCTGCCCCTCGCCGCTGCCCGCTCCGCCCCTCTCAGAGGCCTCCTAGGTGGAGTCCCCCTCCTCCTCCTCCTCCTCCTCCTCCTCCTCCTCCTCCTCCTCCTCCTCCTCCTCCCCTCCTTCCTCCTCTTCCCCCCTCCTCCTCTTCCTCCCCCTTTTCCTCGTCCTCCTCCTCCTCCACCTCCTCCTCTTCCCTCCTCCCTCCTCCTCCTCTCCTCCTCCTCCTCCTCCTCTTGTTCCTCCTCATTTGTTTCTCCTCCTCCTCCTCCTCCTCCTCCTCCTCCTCCTCCTCCTCCTCCCATCGGTGGATCGCGCCGCATCGACGATACACACATCGCCGATCCATCGCCGATGCATCGGCGATGCATCGGCGATGCGTCGTCGCCGTCGCCGAGGGAGAAATCGGGTCCCACATCAAAGCGCACTGCCGATGCATCGGCGATGCGGTGCGACCCTCCGACCCCATCTCGAGCCCCGCCTGGGAGGCCTCTAGACCCCCCCGACCCTGGGGGAAGCCCGGGAGGGAACGGCTAAGGGGGAACGACGGGGGGGGGGCGATCCGGGTTCGAGGTTTTGGGCGCCCGAATTATCCGGGGTAACTCGGGTCCGGGGTAACTCGGGTTTGGGTTCCCGAAAAACGAACCCGAGTTAGCCCTGACCCGAGTTACCCCTGATGATTCGGGGCTCTGGACGCCCGAGTTATCCGGGGTAACTCGGGTCCGGGATAACTCGGGTTCGGGTTCCCGAAAAACGAACCCGAGTTAACCCTGACCCGAGTTACCCCTGATGATTCGGGGCTCCATGGACGCCCGAGTTACCCGGGGTACCTCGGGTCCGGGGTAAGTCGGGTTCGGATTCCCGAAAAACGAACCCGAGTTTGCCCTGACCCGAGTCACCCCTGATGATTCGGGGCCCTGGACGCCCGATTTGTCCGGGGCAACTCGGGTCCGGGGTAAAAGTCGGGTTCGGACTCCCGAAAGACGAACCCGAGTTAGCCCTGACCCGAGCTACCCCTGATGATTCGGGGCTCTGGACGCCCGAGTTATCCGGGGCAACTCGGGTCTGGGGTAAAAGTCGGGTTCGGGTTCCCGAAAAGCGAACCCGAGTTAGCCCTGACCCGAGTTACCCCTGATGATTCGCGGGCGTTTTCGGCGGCTTTCCAGCCTCGATAATGAGATCGATAGTGAGATCGATGTGGTGTCCCAAGGTGTCCCGTGGTGTCCCGTGGTGTCCCGTTGAGTGAGATCGATAGTGAGATCGATTTTGAGATCGATGTGGTGCCCCGATGTGTCCCGAGGTGTCCCGTGGTGTCCCAACAAGTGAGATCGATAGTGAGATCGATAGTGAGACTCTGAAGGTTCGGGGGCGTTTGCGGCGGCCTTCCAGCCTCGAGGTGCTCTCCAGCAGCTGCGCCTCGCCGAGAGCGTTCCTGGGGGGGTGCCCGGGGATCGTCGCGAACCGCCGCTGGAGGGCCGAGTTTATGGGGGCGGGAGACCGACTCAGGGGGTGGGTCCTCCTCCTCCTCCTCCTTCTCCTCCCTCCTCCTCGCCCTCCTCGTCCTCCTCCTCTTCCTCCTCCTCCTATCTCCTCCTCCTCCTCGTCCTCCTCCTCCCCCTCCTCATCCCTCCTCCTTGGGCATCGAGCCTGGAATCGGCGACGCATCGCTGGTCATTCGGCGATAAGCCCTCGAGAGCCAAACCTCACATTCCTGGGAGGGTTTGGTCTAGCATCGCTGATCATTCGGCGATAAGCCCTCGAGAGCCAAGCCTCACATTCCTGGGAGGGTTGGTCTATCAGGCCCCCAGTCGGCGATGAATCGGCGATGGGGGGTTGACGCATCCCCACTGAGCCGTCCCTGACTCCCGATCCCCCCTCCCTGTCTCCCTGGAAGCGAAGGGTGGTGGCGCTCGTGTGTGTGTGTGTGTGTGCGTGCGTGCGTGCGTGCGTGCGTGCGTGCGTGCGTGCGTTCTGGGCGAAGGAAGAATTGGCTGACGCTGCCCCCCTTCACCTCGCCCCCCGGGGGAGGCCTCCCTCTGGACCTCCGCCCGGGCGTCTCCGTCGCGTGTCGATCCCGCGTCCCCCCCCTCCCCCCGCCGATGCCCCCCGCTCCCCCTTGCCGCCCAATCCTCCCGCCCCCCCCCCCTTCGCTTCCGCCCTGCCTGCCCGTCGCAGGCCCGCTCCCGCTCCTCCCGTTCCCCTCGCTCCCTGCGCTTCCCGCTCCTCCCGTTCTCCTCCCGCCTCTCGTTTCGCTGCTGCCACCCGGATTTAGCCCCGCCGCCGCGGCGAGCCCTCCATACCACTAGTGCTGTCTGCCACGAGGCGCGGGAGAGATGAGTGGAAAGGGGGAGCGAAAAAGAGAGAGAGAGAGAGAGAAAACAAAAAAAAAAGAGAGAGAGAGAGATAACCAGAAAGAGAAAGAGAGAGAGAGAGAGAACGAGAGAGAGAACGAGAGAGGGAGACAGAGAGAGAGAGAGAGAGAGACGAACAAAGGAAGAGGGAAGTGCGTGCACGGGGCATCGAGAATACCCAAGGGGCCGGATCCAGGCGCTGCTACTGAAAGCCCATGCGACGTCTAGAAAATGAATCGGCAGAGCCCGCTCGTGAGCGGAGCCGAGGCCCGCTCGAGAGCCGAGAAGTGATAGAACCCACTCTGGACACAGTTCTCCAGCTGCACCCGGCCGCGCCCACGAGGGCCCCTCCCCCCCCGACGCAAAGAGGGAGGACGAGGAGGGTCCGTGCCAGTGCGGAGGAGTACGAGGAGGCAGGAGGGGGAGGCGCATTGGAAACCAGAAGTGGCGGGGGGCAGAAGGAACGGGACGAGGAGGAGCAGGATACGGAGGAGAGCAGGAAACTAGTTGGGGGGACGAAGGCAGCGATACCGCTGCTCCCCAGACCTCTCCTAGTCTGCGTTCTGACCTGGATGTCGAGGCGAACCCAGCTAGTCGTGGCGACGAGGCGAAGCGTAGCGGTACCGGCACCGGCTCCTCTCTGAAACGAGAGAGGGACGAAAACAGCTTGGGTAATCGCGGTGATTGCTAAGTGGGTAGGGGGGTTATAAGTTGATACGAAGGCTACTTTCTGCCCTAACATAGCTTGCATGTCGGTTGGTGATTCCATACATGCGGGGGGCTGAATGTCCGGGCCGAGTGGCCCCCGCCCACTTAGCGGAGTTATGGACCCCCTAAACCACTCAGGGCACATGTAGCCCACATTATCAGTGATGTCAGACCCGTCGGCGTTGGTCTCTGACACTCCGTGCATCGTTCAACCCTCAACGCTCACGGCTCTCCGGCGAGGCAGATCCTTCGCTATCGGCCGGTCTTGGGCCACTGGCCGCGCTCAACCTCGAACGTCCGCACAAGGACCTCCGCGGCGGCAACGTGGCGCGATCCTACCGTAACACCCCCCGCGGTGATCCAAGGAAGGAAGATAAGACGAGGCCAGGACGAAGATAAAATCGGGTGAGGATAAATCGAGAATCTTTGAGATCTGGCGGCGATGGAGGATGTCTCGGGCGCCGCGGCCTCCTCAAAGCGTTGCGGAACGCTATGAGAGCGTTGCGGATCGATCTCGCTCTGGAACGGACTTATCCTCGTCCTAGCCCCGTCCGAGAAGGAATACGCGAGGCGGGGATTCACCCATATCCACCGCCTGGGAGCTGACGTCCTGAGGACAGAATGGGCGGTGGGTATGGATATATCTAGGCCCCGGGGGGCCAGACTGTATCCACATCCACCGCCCGACGAGGTCTGCGAAGATCGATCCTCGAAGCGGTGGTTATGTACAAATCCGCGCCTCGGAGAAGACCCCCCTTGAAGGGGCCCAAGGACACACAAATAACTACACAAAAATAAAAAGATTCCCCATATGTTCACATATTTTCTGGGTTTCTGTCTTCCCCCCACTTCCCATATTTTCCCATATTTTCCTGGGGATCGTCGATTGATTGTGTCTGTGGTTTTTTCCCTCCTGAGAGAAGACCCCCCTGCACGCCTGCAGCTGCGAGTGGTTCATCACGGCCAGCTTCCGCCTCGCGAGCGCGGCGGCCTCCTCCGACACGGCCTGGGGCCTCTCCCTCCGGGCCTGGCGGGAGGCCTCCTGCGCGCAGCCGCGGTCGCTCGGGGGCCCTCCCAGCAGTGGGCAGGAAGGCAGAGCAACATCGATCCGCCAGAGGTCTGGCAAGAAGCAGGCGAACCAAGACATCTCCACTAAGACGAAGCCAGGGGGAGAATCACATCGGGTGAGGATACAGCGAGAATCTCTGAGGTCCGGCAGCTCTCGAGGATGCCTCGGGCGCCGCGGCCTTCCTTTTTGTTCAAGTGAACATCTCGTCGAACAAGCTACTCTGATATCGCGATAGTGGCAGTCGTTGCTGCTGAGCCACCTCATGCTCATCGGGCAACTTGTGGCCCGCACGCTGGTGGCAGAACGGATACACCTTACTCACACTTGTGATGATCAATGTGCACATAAGACAACTATACATAGAACCATGCGTGTATACGCACATGCTGTAGGACCACCCTCGGCGGGTGATCACAGAACGTTGGGGGGATGTGTGCCTCCTTCGGTTTGCGATAGCCTTGATATCAACCCAGACTCGTCTGGAACATCCATGCCGCTGGCTCCACTAAGGCGAACGCAGAATACACCGAATATGGAGTAACTCCGAAAGAAAGGTCATCGGCGTCCCAGCGGCCAGGCGGCCAAGAGCGTCAAGGCCCCAACGCCCACCAATGGATCCACGCCTCTGGTCGGCGCGGCCGAAATGGAGTTTGAGCTTCCGTTTCCGCCGATGCAGCCTGCAGACCCAACGTCACAAGGTGTATATGTGGCGACCGTGGGCCCCACGAGGTACTGTTCCTCGGGCCCCTGGCCCTGGTAGACTTGGCGGTACGCCTCGGCAGAGGACGGGAGGTGCTCGACCCCAGAGATGGCGACCATGGGCGACGGCCTGACGGGCGAAGCGCTGCTGCTGATGGCGATATCCGCGCACTGTACATAGAATTCAATATTGCTCACCTGCTGGTGCGCAGTCCACTCCCAGCGCAGCACGCAATGGTCACAGGCTGGCAAGTCCGCGGGCAACACAGCGCTGGTGCTGGTGTCGGGAACGACCAAGCCGTCGGCGGCACCGCAGCCCGGGAATACTGCGATCTTGAACCAATTGATCGGGTCGACGACGTCCGAGTCGTAACTCACGTACAGGTAGCAGTCTCCTGGGTGGCCGGCCTCCATCTTCCAGGCAACGTCGAACGCCTGGCCCGCCACGAGCGTGGTCTCTGGCGCCCCGCCAGTAGGCGGCAGCTCGCGGCAGCGGTACGCGCCCGCGCCGTACCTAGAGGCCTCCTAGATGGGGTCGGAGTAGATGGGATCCGAGGATCGCGCCGCATCGGCGATAGATCGGCAGTGCATCGGCGATGCATCGGCGATGCACCGGCAATGCATCGGCGACGTCCGCAGGAAGAAAACCGGGCTCCACATCGAGCCGCATCGCCGATGCATCGGCGATGCGGCGCAATCCTCCGACCCCATCTACTCCGACCCCTTCTATCGGCGGTGGACAAATCTCCCTTTAGTAGACCTCCCTTAGTGAAAACGGCCTGGGACCGAAACCGACGGACCTGGACCCGCAAAAATGACGGCCGCGACGCCCTCTCGCGAACCGAAAACGGCCCATTCCTTCATCGACGTGTCAGGGTAGGAGGTCTGCTCGCCCCCGAATCTGGGAGGCCTGGAGTACCCGAACACCGGCCCGCTCAGGGTGTGGGTCGGCCGCCTCTGCACGAAGCTCTCCGCGAAGCCGTCGGCGTCGGGGCGCACGGCGGGCGTCGTCATCTGCCCGTGCCCCGCGGCGCGGGCGAGGAGCGCCGCGAGCGCCGCGGCGGCCGAGGCCGTGCCCGGCCGTCGAGGCATCGCTGGCGCAGCAGCGGGGTGGCGATGGGCGGGGTGCCGCGGCCACAGAGACCAACTTTCGGGGATGGACCGGGACCCCTTTAGCAAAACGTGGTTCAGTGACAACGACCTCGGGCCCAAACCTGCGCGATCTCAGAGACCAACTTTCGGGGATGGACAGGGACCCCTTGAGCAAAACGTGGTTCAGTGAAAACGACCTCGGGCCCAAACCTGGCGGGCGCAAGCCTGGAAAAGGACGTCCGCGGCGCCCTCTCGAGAACCGAACACGGACAACTCGCGAATCGACGTGTCAGGGTGGGGGTTCTACCCACCCCCGAACATCCGCGCTTGAACCAAAAATGCCTACGGACGGGAGCCGGAGAGCGCTCCGGAGCGCTCTGGGCGCGCTCTGAGCGCGCTCTGGAACGCATTTACCCTCGTGCTGGCCCCGCCCGAGTCTGGCCAGAAGCACGCGAACCATGGATGTCTACACCGCTCCTGGTTGCGCCCAGACCTGGCTTTCGGGAGCGGCCAAGAGGGGGGTGTCCAAGAGGGGGGGGTGCAAATCATGACCGGCGGCATGTGCGCGGCCCAGCGGGGGGGCCAGGAACGTCATGAGATCAGAAGAGGCGCCATGAAATCTGAGGAAATATAATGGCCCACGCCATGATATCCCCCCCGCCCAGTCATCACCCCCCTCTTTTCCGCTCCCGATGTTGGGCATTGCACCCACTCTTTCCGTACCCATTTCGTGCGTGCAGAACTTGGGCGTGGCTTAATGGGGGGTCACAAATGGGGGGGTCAGAAAAGGTCCCCTGTCGTGCCCCTTTCGGGCCCCTCCAGAGCCCGAGGGGGCTCGTTTAGGTACCGTTTGGGTACCTTTTCCGGCCCCTAGGCTTGGCCAGGGGTACTCACGCACCGATCCTGGGCGCAGGGGGGGCCTTGGCCAGGATCGGCGCGGACGCAGAGGTGGCGCCCCGAGAAGAAAGCTCGCGGCTCGGCCCCTGCTCCTCGGTCCTCCTGCTGGTACTGGTGGTGCTCCTCCTCCTCCTCCTCCTCCTCCTCCTCCTCCTCCTCCTCCTCCTCCTCTCCTTCCTCCCTCCTCCTCCTCCTCCTCCTCCTCCTCCTCCTCCTCCTCCTCCTCCTCCTCCTCCTCCTCCTCCTCCTCCTCCTCCCCCTCCCTCCTCCTCCTCTCCTCCTCCTCCTCCTCCTCCTCCTCCTCCTCCTCCTCCTCCTCCTCTCCTCCTCCTCCTCCTCCTCTCTCCTCCTCGTTCTCCTCCTCCTCCTCCCTCCTCCTCCTCCTCCTCCTCCTCCTCCTCCTCCTCCCCCCCTTCCTCTCGGCAAGCGACGTGGGGCCAGCCTCGGGCCTCTTGGGAGGCCTTCGACATCGGCGGGCCTTGGGGCGGAACCTGGGAGGACCTTCTGCAGCTGATTCAGCCTCCTCTGCAGGGCCCAAGGGTATACACCACCACCACCACCTCCCTCATCCCCGCCCTATCCCAGGAAAGAGGACAGGAAGATAACGGTGGAGGAGGGAGGAGAAATCCGCCGACCCTGTCGGCGTGTGTGAAGGGCTTCTCCGTTCGACTCGTCGTCTCCGTCGTCTCCGTTCTCCGCCTCCCAGGGCTCTCCTCCTCAAGAGCGCTATCCAAAGCGAAATTAAACGACGTCGTAGTTGAGTCGAAGGGAAGCCCCTTCCCTTTGATCCCTTCCCGGCAGGGGGGGGGGCCGGGGCAGATACGACGCCCGCCGGGGCGCATTTTCGCACGCCGGAGATGCACTTCTTCCTCTTCCGGGAGCACGTCCCAAGTGAGAATATCACACTCCCGGGGCGCACTTTCTTCGAGCGGGCACACAAAGGATGCACTTCCTCCTCCTCCTCCTCCTCCTCCTCCTCCTCTTCCTCCTCCTCCTCCTCCTCCTCCTCCTCCTCCTCCTCTTCCTCCTCCTCCTCCTCCTGCTCCTCCTCCTTCTCCTCCTCCTCCTCATCATCCTCCGCTTCCTCCCCCCACTCCTAGCCCTTTCGATCAGGGTCGGCGGCACCAGCCGTCAGGCCTCTCCAATCGACTTGGTGGTGGTGTATACTCTTGGGGCCCGCAACCTCCCCCCTCCCGATCTCTCTGAGTACCGTTCCAGCTCCTGCTGCCGCTGCTCGTGCTGCGGGCTGTTCACCCGTCCTTCTTGTCATCGCCCTCGTCGTTACCCTGGCCCTCGTCGTTATCGCCTCCCTCAACTCCCTCGTCCTCTTTTTACTCATCCACGTCGTCGTCCGCACCCGTCCTGACGTCCCCTCAATCCGCACCCCCCCATCCGCACCCCTCCATACGCACCCCTCCTTACATCCCCTTCTCCTTCAGCATATATCCTGTACCATGCACTTGTTATACATGTTCCTCCATCCTTCCTCCTCCAGCCTTCCTCCTCCTCCTCCTTCTCCTCCTCCATCCATCATCCTATATATCACCCTCCACTTCCATCATCTTGCTGCCTCCACCATAATGTTCCATATGTATTCACCCGTCCGTCCATCAACTTGCATCATCATCCAAGACACTCCATCCCCTCGAGCCGGATCCATATTCTTCCATCAATGTGTCTCATCATGTATCAGGAAAGGCTGGATCGTCTGTCGCTCTCTCTCGTCATCCCCTTCCTCCCCCAAAGCTCTTCCCTTTTCACCACATTGCTCGTACAACTAAAATGAGTGACCGAAGCATGCGCTATTGCTACCGATTATTTTACTCGCCCTATCCTCTCTGCTGTTACTTCTGTCCAGCCTTCGCCCGCAATCCACTGCTCGCCCCAACCATCATCAGACCCGTTCCCTTCCCCCCTCCCTCCCCCATCACGTTCCTTTTCAAGATCGCCTCGCCGGCGCTCACCAGACGCGTCGGAAGGGCGGCCACGCGTTGTGCCTGAAGCCTCCTCTCACCAGTTTAACAAACTAGCACTGGAACTTGGAACTCTCAGCCGTTCTGCGGATGGATGTCGCATCCTTTTCAAAATCCCGCCAGCTCTTTGGACGTGAATGGTCTGGGGAGCTTATTGTTGCAACCCCTTGTTCCCCTTCTGGGAAGGGTTTGCGACTCCCCCCCTCCTTCCCTGGATTTCGACGGGGGCGGGGGTTGGGTGAGTGGGGGGGAGGGCAAGCGGAGCATCCAAGATGGCCCAGCTTCAGGGTTGCACAAGAACCCCCAATATTGTTCAATCTATCCTCCAACGTGTACCCATGATGCCCCAACACTACTCCAAGACGGCTCAACATGGCCGCTGATAACCCCAAGGACGCTCCCGAGAGGCTAAACTACTTTTGAAACCTTTGGGATTATCATTGACGGTTGCCTTCTCGCCCTTTGGCTTTCGATGGGCTTTCGAGGCTTCAAGGTCGGTCTGAGGTCGCCTGAGAGAGTCCCAAGACTAGAGGCCCAAAGACGGCCCCAAGAGCGCCCAGGAGCTCCAAACATCGCCAACGCAGGCCCCGAGAGGAGATGTTCCAGCCTCCGATGGGGGGGAGCGGGGGGGGGGCGTAGTTGGACCCGCTTCCTTGTTGATCGATGACCTATCAGATGGCCTCGAGAGGGCCCAAAAGGTCCCCTCCCAAGAGGGCCCCAATGGCGCGTTGGGGGTTCACAACCCGAGAGCTCCAACATGGCTCACATAGGCTTCAAAGAGACTCTCAGAGCGAGAAGCCCGCGACTGGTTCCACCAATTGGCAACACAGCTGACACTTCCCCAGGTACGACGGCCCGGAAGTGGATCGTTGTGCAAGTGCTGCGCATGATGGAGGGTTCTCCAAACTGCGACTACGTCTGGCCAGGTACTCCCGCAAAGCGTGCGACCGAGGGCTGAACGTCCTGCACTACAGGAACGGACATAGGATGGATCGTGTTCGATTCCCTGGGATCTAGCTGGACATACCCATGATGGTAATGAGGGTCTTGCTTCCTACATTTATGCGCTCTTGCAACTAGAAGGCTCGAGGGCGGACCGTCATCAAAACAGAGCTCTCGGATGACCAGGCGAGCAGGCAACGAGAGGCCGTCGGTACCTCGAAGCTCGGCCTCGCCTCGCCTCCGGCCGGTGTCCTCTCCACTCCTGCTCCTCCTCCTTCTCCTCCTCCTCCACCTGCTCCTCCTCTTCCTCCTCCCCTCCATCTCCTCATCCTCCTCTCCGCTTCTGTTCCCCCTCATCCTCTTCACCTCCTCCTCCTCCTCCTCCTCCTCCTCCTCCTCATGCTTCCTCCTCCTCATGCTTCCTCCTCCTCCTCCTCCGCCTCCTCCTCCTCCTCCTCCTCCTCCTCGTTGCTCTGCCCCCTTCTCCCCCTCTCCCCTCGACCTCGAAGAGGGAGGGAGAGGGCCTCCAGGGCCAGCGCGCACCGGTGGCAACCAGGGCCCTCGACGGGGACAGCACTGCGGCGGCCACTGGGGGCAAGACCGTTGCAGGGACTTCCAACAAACAAAAAAACCGAACACATACGCAGGCAAGTCATGCAGTGAACGGCGGGGCCCTGGTTTTCAGCCAGGCGCCCCACATGCGGAGGAGCAAGCGCGGGGCGAACCACACGCAGGGGTGCCCAGGCAGAGGAAGAGGCAGGGAGGGGGGGTCATCTGGGGATGTGGTCGTCGTGGATGAGGCGGTCGTGGTCGTGGTCTCGACTGCTGTGGTGGTCGTAGTCGTAGGTGGCAATTGCAGCTGTTATGGGTGGTAGTTCGACTCGGTGGCAGCGCGTCGTTCTTGGCCTTCAGGGCCCTCACCGGCCCATCGCGCCAAGCAACTGCTCCGCAGTCGTCTCCGTCTGGTGGGCTGAAGCCACGTCCTGCGCCCAGGACCGCACGCGGGCCACGATCTCCTCGCCAGGCCTTCTGTCGGCTTCGAAGACGACAGGGTCCAGCTACCCCCCAGCGGCGGGTACTGCAAGCGTTTGGCGTCAGCAGCAATCCGGGCCGTCAGCCCATGCCGCCCGGCACGCGCCTGCTGGGCGCGACAGGTCGCGCTAACCGCTAATTGTCAAGGAAACAGGCTGTCCCGTCATGGCGTCCAGGGTGGCCACCACAAACCTAGCCTCCTCCAGTTCCCCTGACTCACCCACGCTGCCCCAAGCCAAGATGCGCTGCCCAGTGACTGAAGTGGGGCCTGCAAGCCTTCTTTTGATTGGAGCTGCAAAGATCTCGCACCCCATTGTGTCGCCACATGCCAGATGCGGGCTGGGCCGCAGGGGCACGCGGAGGCGTGTTTGACGCGAGCGTCCACTCACTGCAGCGTCCAACCTGAGGTGCTGACGCACGGTGCCAGACGCGCAGAAAGGCATGCGAAGAAAGGCCGCGAGGGACATCAGGAATGATTTAGCGGGCGTGCGAACAGGCTCGAGCCGATTGCGGTGAACGGGTTGATCCAGGAACCCTCCTGCTTCCGAGCCGCCAGCGAAACCCAGGTCTCTGGTCGTCGTGGCCCACGCTCGTAAGCAACCCCGTCTGGGCGTCTCTGCTGTTGCTCCTCGGCAAGACGCGCCACCTAGTCAGGGCGGGCGATGTTACCAAGGCTCTGGGGTGGAGACGGTCCCGCGCCCTGGCAAACGCGCCGACCTCACGCGGGCAGCGAGTCGCGAACCCCTCCCCAGCGGTCTCCTCAAGGTCTTCGCTACTCTTGGAAGGGTAGACGCCCAGCTCCCGAGGAAAGCGGCTGCGGCCACCATCGCAGCAGAAGTGGACCCCAAGCCAATCGGCGAAGCGCGAGAACCGTGTTCTGGCCTGCCCCCAGCGGTCGCCCTGCGAGCCACGAGACCGCCTCCACGACGACAGAGGCGAGCCGCTGCGACCACGGGCCCTCCTCGCAGTTCGCCCCAGACGTGCGCGACCGCCCCGTTGGTGTCTGGAGGTTGGAGGCGAGGGGGCTGAACTGGTTGGGACCCCGGGAAATCGGTCAGGAGGGGCGGATAAGGCCAAATCCGTTCAACATCGGTCCATCGGGTGTGGCTTTCACCCCGGATCTTTTGTTCACGGCACCAGCCCCAGAAACTACTGCCCCCGCAGGTTGCAACAAACAAAGGAGCGTCCCGAGCCGAGAACCTCGCTCCTGCCCGCCCTGCTGGCCGGAGCCAGTGCTGGGCCACCTCAGGCTCCCAGGCGGCTCCCATCTGGAGGGGAAAGCAAATGCGAGGGCGGAGCTGGGAGATCGGCCTCTCGGACTGTGGCGTCGCCCTCTGGGTTGCCGTGGCCAGTCGACCCACGGGGCCGACCCACGGGGGGGGGACATCATGTCCGGGGCCATGATATCTCCCTAGACTTCATGGCCCTTTCCTTGTCTGCAACACGTCAACATGTCTCCCCCTCGTGTGCGCACGTGCCTCTGGCAATGATTTGCGGACCCCCCTCTTGGACGCCCGCCCCTTGGACGCACATGATCTGGAGGAGGAGGAGCAGGAGGAGGAGGAGGAGGAGGAGGAGGAGCAGGAGGAGGAGGAGGAGGAGGAGGAGCAGGAGGAGGAGGAGGAGGGAGGCCAGGTGCCCGCAAGCGCCCCAGCCCTGGTGGCAGCTGCGTCACGGGGTCGGCCGTCCGGGCCGCGGTCTTGCCGGCGCTGGAATCCTGAGGGCCCCGCGCCGCCGAGGCTCCTCGCGCACGGCCCGTCGAGACGCGTCGGGGGCGGCGGCCGAGATGCTGACCACGACGTCGTCGAGTGCGCCTGGTGGCCCCCGACGAGGAAGGCGGACGCTGATGGCATCGATGGCGTCCGCTAGCCCAAGCGTGAGAAACGCCAGCGAAAGCGGCTTCATGTCGTCCGCATCCTCCTCCTCCTCCTCCTCCTCCTCCTCCTCCTCCTCCTCCTCCTCCTACTCTTTCCTCAGCCTCCCTCCTGGTCCTCCTCCTCCTCGGCCTCCTGCTCGACCTCTTCCTCTGAGCATGGCGTACGAGCGCAGTCCTGCACCCGGAGGACGAGCTTCTCCAGGTCGTCGGCCAGCGGGGCGGCCCCCTCGTCGGGATGGGGGGGAGGGGCCAACCCGGACCTGAGACGTCCTGATTTCCCAGTGCGCGGGCCCTCGAGCCCACCACCCCAGACCTCCAGTGCGGGGCTCGCGCTTCCACGGCCCCTCGTAGGGGGCCCGAATCGGGGCTTCTGGAGGCCGAAACCGAGGAGAAGTGACGGCACCGAGGTGGCCACGACGTGAGAGGCCTGGGTCCGCGGCTGCCTGCCCCCGTTCTCCCTCCTGCGTCTCATCCTCCTTCCACGCCCCCCCCCCCCTCCACCCTCCTCGCCCCTCCTTGCCCCCTCCTCCTCCTCCTCCTCCTCCTCCTCCTGCTCCTCCTCCCCCTCCTTCTGCTCCTCCTCCTCCTCCTCCTCCGCCTCCTCCTCGTCCTCCTCCTGCTCCTCCCCGTCCTCGGGCCTCGAGTGGACACTCACAATCGCATGCTCAGGGTTGGCCAGCAAAAGTTGCGTAGGACGGGCCGAAGCTGCAAGGATTCAACTATGCGCTCTGACTGTAGCGCATCATGGCCCGAGGCTTGTGCGCGGACGAGGGGTCGCGCTGCAAGAAGAAGCGGGGGCAATGACATCGGGAAGGTGTCACGGACCCGCCCACGGTGCCAACACACGCCTAGTCCTGAACCTCCCGTCTTGGACACCCCCAACCTCGGATCCAAGCGAACCCGATCTGGGAAGTTGGAGGGCAAGCAGTAATGTCGCCACCGCGCCATTGCTGTCCGACGCCGCAACTCTCGGGCATATCTGGCGGACCGAAATGTGGCGAACGGAAGCCAAAGGAAAAACGAAAGAGAGAGTCATGTGCAGGGTATTGGTGGCCTCGTGAGTCTGCTCTGACGGTCTTTCGAGGTGGCCCTGGACTCCCGAAGCTCAGTCGGGGCACTCTCGGGGCTCCCTTGGAGCATTGTGTTGTTTTTCCGCGAGCGGTCTCGCACGTCTTGCAAAGTGAAGTCTAAGCTTCGGCGCTCCACGCCTTGGATGCGTGGCTCGTCGTGCTCCGCTTCGGGGCGCTTTCTGTTTGGGGCCTGGGGTCGCGCCTGGAAGGCTACGGAGGCATCAAAACGAAAGGAGGAGGCGAAGAAGGCCGAGGTCGAGCCAGAGGACAAGGACGACGGAGGGCGGGCACAGGCAGAGGGCGGAGCGTGTGCGGCAAGGGCGGGCATGCGCTGTGTGCAAAGGCAGGGTGCTGCTGTTGAGGCGCCGTGCCTGCTGCATGCGTCCGCGGAGCCCGCGCATCGATTTTCGTGGGAGGAGGAGGAGGATGCAAAGGAGAAAGGAGGGCAGGGTTGGCGGTCGCCCTCTGACGAACAACATTCGAGCTACAACATGCAGCTGGAACTCGGGCAGAACGGGTGTAAGTCTATGCGCAGAAGGCAACTGTAAAACCGCAACTGCATTACCCGTCTGCCTCAGGGGGCACCAAGGGCCCAACGGCTGTAGGGGCACCACACCGTCGCCCCCAGACCGCTGCCTGCGCCCGGGTTGCAGCCCAGGTCCCCGGCGGGAGTCGTGCACTGATCCTGCGAGTTGCAGGAGCCGTCCCGGATGCAGTGGCCGTCGCAGCCGCCGTAGCAGCACTGGCCCTGGCCCGCCCCGCTCCCGCCGAAGCCGCTGCCGCCGCTCCCCGGCAGGCTGTCGCTGCCGAAGCTGCCCCCGCCGCCGACCGACGGGAACGCCAGGGCCGGCCCAGCGGCCGCGCGGCCGGTCCTGCTCGCGGCGCCCGGGGGATCCGCGGCGCCCCGCAGCCCCGCGGCGGCCGCCGCCGAGCTCGGGCTCGCCTCCCCCGGGCTCGCCGCCGCGCCGCGCAGCCGCGGCGGCGCGCGGCTCGCGGGCCCGCCCCCCGCGGCCAGGGCCGCGAGGGCGGCCAGCAGCACGGCGCGCATCTGCGCCGCTTTTTCGGGCTGCGCGGGATGGGCGGAGCGCCCCGACGCCGGAGGCCCGGGCTTGGCAGGCCAGGGGGGGAGGGGCTGCAGGCGTCAGGCGAGGGGCCCGGAGCCAAAATGGCCACGGAGCATGCATTCCGGGGTGTTGGTTGGAGACCTGGGGGGCGCTAAGGTCGCCAGTCCTCGTTACCTTTGCAGCGAAGTTGGATGGCGCAAGACCTCTCCAGTGGCCCTCTTTCGCCCCTCTTTGTGGCTCTCTTGGGGACCTCTGGAGGCATGTTTGAAGATTCGAGAGCCATTCGGGAGCAAAATGGCGAACAAGTAAACAACATGGATTCATCGCACTACGTGTTTGAAAGTTTTGGCCCATCGGCGGCCCTCTTGAGGCGTCTTGCAGGCACCTTGGGCCGACCTGGAGGCTGTCTTGGCGTGTCCTCTCAGGTATTACCTCGTCTCGTCTCGTCTTGTCTCGTCTCGTCAGGGCTTGGCATCTTAGGTCCTCTTGGACCGTTCGGGGGTCGCCTTGGCAGGGCCGCGAGACGCTGATCACGTGGCCGTCCAGGGACTGAAGTTAGGGGTTCGCCCGCCTTGTCAGGGCAAGTCCCTCCCCTAGGACTGCACGGGCTCTCTCGCGAGCGGTCCGGGCGGTCTTTCCAAGAACAAGAAGGCTCCGAGATGGCCTGAGGCAGCCAGAGCAATACACCAATATGATCTCCAGCGTTATGTCCCGCCGCGGAGTCGGCCAACGATGCCCCGAAGAAGCCCGAACCATTTCCAAACACAATGTTTCTATGATTTTCAGCCATGGACTGCAGAGGTCTCGAGGTGAGCCCAAGATCGCCCAACAGTGCCACAAATCGAGCCGAGATGGGCCCCAAGAAAGCCCAGCACGCCGGCACTACCACCCCGAGAAACCTGGTAAGCGCACCAAGTGGTGAGTCGTGACGGTGGTCAAAGTCGTGCGAGGCACTTGCCGGTCCCCCTCCCCCGTTCTCCGCCCCCTGGGTCCAGAACACAATTACGGGGGGGGGGGGTACAGTCGAGGCGTTGACCTAAGGAACCCAAAATAAGGAACGAGGCCCCTTTTTTCCATAAGTTACCGTTCGTTAAGTTTCCGAGGCAAGCTGTGAAACACTCAAGGAACGCGGAGCCCCTCCCCAACGAAAGGGGTTCCTTCTTCAGGGCCCCGACTGTACGAGCTCCCCGGCGCACCTCCCTGGCCCTCGGGGCCTCCAAGTCCACCCACTGCGGCACCCATGATGCCCCAGATGCCCCACGAAGGACTCCAACGTGCCCGAGAGGCCGTCAAAACAAGATGGCCTCAGGACGGTACATCAAGCTTCGAAGACCCCGGCAAAGGGCCACCAGGCGGGCTCCAGAGGCAAAGGCAAGTGATCTGACCTCCGACGAGGCCTGAGACGTCCCTCGCATTGGCCCAAGACGGGCGAAAATGCACCCAGGAGGACTCGGAGATGGCCCAAGACAGCCCCAAGACTGCCCAAGAGAACCCCAAGACAGCCAAATGCCACCCAGAGGGCCTCAAGAGGGGCCGCGGGCCCCAAAGGGCGAACTCGCAAGGGCCCTGGGAGCCGTCCCCCACAGCATGGCCCCCAAGATGCCCAACGTGCTCCCATTTTTTTTTTTTTGTCCCCCTCTCAAGCACTGGCGGAAAAAACGGCTGCATTATGCCAAAGTGCTCCCAATTATGGCCCCAATGGGACCCCCCAATATGCCCCCGAATGGACCATGAGGATCCACAATACGGGCTCTAGAGGCAACCCCACATGGTGCTCCATCTGTGTTTGAAGAACGTTCGCGTTGCAGCTGTTCAAATGGTTGGACCCCTGCGATGGCCCGAGAAGACCCTCATACTGGCCCAAGACGGCCGAAGAGGCCCCCACGAGGGCCTGGAGATGGCCCAAGAGGGGCCCCAGAACTGGCAAAAAGGCCCCAAGAGGGGCCGCGGAGGCCAAGGAGGGCGAACCCGTAAGGGCCCCTGGAGCCATCCCCACAACATGGCCCCGAACAACACACAACATGCTCCCAAGATGCTTTCAAGGGACCCCCTAAGAAACCCTCAGTTCCCCAAAATGCCCGATTGAGGCCGCCACCGAGGACTCTGGCAGGACCCCAGGTAGCCCCGCAGCGGATGCGGACGAAGAGGGGGATCATTTACACGCAGATCGACGCAGGCAACACGACGGGACGGGGCAAACAACACATGCGACCCAAGATAAGCCCAACACGACCCAAGCTGGTCTCAACACGGCCAAAGAGCCCAAGAGGCACCTGATAATTATGTTCCACGCCGCTCCGAGAGGACCTACAGAAAACCCTCACGAAAACGAACAAACATACAGCTCATGTTGCTTCCATTGATTTCAACGTCCCCGCCATAGCGGGCTTCCGACCGCCTCAGACCAACCTCAAGGCTACCTGCATTGTCTCCCGCCGGACCAAGCCGGCCTCAAGAAGACCCCCGTGAACCCTGAAGAGTCCAAGATGGTCTCCCTTCAGATGCGCCCACCGCGGCCTCCAAGACGCCCAGCATGCCCACGACGCCCAAGAGACCCCGAAGAAGCCCCCAGGAGGGCCCCGCAGAACACCCGAGGCCCCTGAGAGACTCCCAAAACGGCCGCCTCCGAGGCCTCCACCAGGCCCCCCAGGCCCCGCACTGGACATCGCGGAGGAAGAGAAGGACCACATACAAACAACTACGCTTAGGTCGGGCATGTCCCCCTACAGGGGGATTTTGGGCGAACAAATAAAACATACCCCAAAAATGCTCCCAAATGCTCAAGAAGACTCCACAAATCGTCGTCCCCCGAGGATTTTTTGCCTAACTTGTGAATATTCCCCCCGTAGAGGGACACGCCCGACTTCAAACTACGCGCAAAGGACACGACGGGACGGGGAAACAACGCGCACGGCCCACGAGAACGTCAACCCGGCCCCCAAGTTGGCCTCCGCAGCCGCACGCGCGCTGCACGGCGCATCTCTCGCGAGGCCCCCCGAGACCTCCGAGCGCGGAGAGGCCTGCCGTCCTCCGCGGCGCGGGGCGGGGATGCTCCACGCAGCCACCACCAGGGGACCCGTCTTCGGGGATCTCGGCAGGCGGTGAGTGCGGAGACCTCACGCCCCTGCCGCCGCCTGCCGAGGCCGGACCGACGCCCCCAGGTTGTGGGCAAATCTAAAGGGAAATTAGGACACACAAATAAATACACACAAATAAAAATAGCCCCCACATTTTCTCATATTTTCTGGGTTTTTGTCTTCCCCCCCCCAATTCCCATATTTTCCCATGTTTTCCTGGGAAATCGAGGATGAATTGTGTCTGTGTGTTTTTTTCCCTCCCGAAAATCCCCGCTTCGGGCCTGGCGGCCCCCAGGTGGAGGCCATCCCGCACGGGGTCGGAGCAGGCGAGGTCGGAGGACCGCGCCGCGTCGCCAATTCCATCACCGCTGCAGCGGCGACCGTCGGCGCTGCATCGGCGACGCCGGCGCGGAGAAAAGGCTCCACACGGAGCCGCATCGGCGATGCATCTGACTACCTACCAGACCACCCCAACCCAACCCGAAGACCCGAATTTCGGGTTGGGGGGGGTAAGGGTTCCACATGTGTTTTTTCGATATTTCCCGGACCCCCCCCCCCCACTGGAAATCGAGGGTAAATCTGAGCCTTCGGGTTGGGTTGGGGTGGTTTGGTGGGTGGTGAACATCAGCGATGCACGGGCGATGCCGCGCGATCCTCCGCCCCCGTCTGCTCGGACCCAACATCACTGGGGCGGGGCCTGGGCACATAGAACCCTGACTACGGAAACATCGATCCGAGATCAAGGTTCTACGGCAACTCATGGGAGCACCCCATACCATCTCGTTGGCTCGCGCGAATCGGCGCCCACCGACGCCAATCGACCCTAATCGACGCTAGATCGAGGCGCATCGACGCTACTCGAGGCTACATCGGCGCTATCTCCTCGACGGCCAAACGCTAATCGACTCAAACATGGCATTGCAAGGGTATGCTTAAGTCGGGCCTGTCCCCCTACAGAGGGATTTTCGACGAAAAATAAAAAAATACCCCCCAAATACACCAAAAAAGCAAAACAAATAGTCAAACAATAATCCCCAGACTATTTTTGGACTATTCTTGGGGTATCTTTTATTTTTCGTCGAAAACCCCCTTGTAGGGGGACAGGCCAGACTTAACGCTAATCGCCTCAAACATGGCACTGCGAGGGTACGCAGGCACTGCGATGGTACGCAGGGTACCCCAACAAATAGTCTTGGGACTTTGTTTTGAGTATTTGTTTGGCCTTTTGGGGGTACGTTTGGGGGTATGTATTTGTCGTCGAAAATCCCCTGTATGGGGGGCACGCCCGACTTAAGGGTATGCAGGGCTCTCCCATGCTGTGCTATTGCCGGCTCCCGCGCCGGGCGGGGGCCGCAAGCGAGGCCTTCCACGCGAAGGGGAGCTCCGCCTCCTGCGCCGCCTCCGTCGCCTGAGGGGCAACGCTAGCAAGGGCTCCCAGCTTCGCGCTGCGCGCTTCGCGCTGCGCGCAAAGCGCGCATCACGTCGCGCTCTCGCGCCGCCTCCCAGGGGAGGAAGAGGAGGAGGGGTCGGAGCCGAGCCGCGAAGCGCAGAGCGCGAACAACTTCGTGCCCTCGAGGGCGCCCTTGATGATAGGGGGGGGGGAATGGCATGGGTGGGGGGGAGGCATCGACCTGGAATCGGCGGTACATCGCCGATAGAGCGGCGATGGGCCCCCGATAGCGAATCCGCACCCTCCTGGGCAGGTTGGGGCTATCGAGCCCCTGTGGGCGATCCTGGGCGATTGGGGGTCGACGCATCCCCCCGTATGCCTTTAGGAGGAGGAGGAGGAGGAGGAGGAGGAGGAGGAGGAGGAGGAGGAGGAGGAGGCGGAGGAGAGGAGGAGGAGGAGGAGGAGGGGCAGGAGGAGGAGGAGGAGGACGAGGAGGAGGAGGGGGAGGGGAGGGGGGGGAGGAGGAGGGGAGGAGGAGGACGCACAGGCCTCCCCCTTCTCGTTGCCCATCCCCCCCCCCCCCCTTCTCGCTGCCCCCGATCGCCCCGTCCTTGCTGCGCGGCCGCTCCCGGGCCGACGGCGACCTCCCGCGGGCGTGCGACGGCGGCCGCGCCTCGCGGTCGGCCAGGCACGGGGCCAGCTCTGCGCGGAGCCACTCCTCTGGGAAGGGGCCCTGGGACTCACAAATACAGTCGAGGCGTTGACCTAAGGAACCCTAAATAAGGAACGAGGCCCCTCTTTTCCATAAGTTGAACTTCGATTTCGTATCGAAAACCTAAAGAAAATCCAGGGCAAGCTGCGAAACACTTAAGGAACACAGAGCCCCTCCCCAACGAAAAGGGTTCCTTCTTCAGGGCCCCGACTGTAAATGCACACAAGTAGAAGGATTCCCCATATTTTCCTATATCTTCTGGGTTTTTGTCTTCCCCCCCAAATCCCTATAGTTTCCTACATATTTTCCTGGGGCTGGACGATGAATTTGGACGCCCGAATTATCCGGGGCAACTCGGGCCCGGGGTAACTCGGGTTTGGGTTCCCGAAAAACGAACCCGAGTTATCCCTGACCCGAGTTACCCCTGATGATTCGGGGCTCTGGACGCCCGAAATATCCGGGGTAACTCGGGTCCGGGGTAACTCGGGTTTGGATTCCCGAAAAACGAACCCGAGTTATCCCTGACCCGAGTTATCCCTGATGATTCGGGGCTCTGGACGCCCGAAATATCCGGGGTAACTCGGGTCCGGGGTAACTCGGGTTTGGGTTCCCGAAAAACGAACCCGAGTTATCCCTGACCCGAGTTACCCCTGATGATTCGGGGCTCTGGACGCCCGAAATATCCGGGGTAACTCGGGTCCGGGGTAACTCGGGTTTGGATTCCCGAAAAACGAACCCGAGTTATCCCTGACCCGAGTTATCCCTGATGATTCGGGGCTCTGGACGCCCGAAATATCCGGGGCAACTCGGGTCCGGGGTAACTCGGGTTTGGATTCCCGAAAAACGAACCCGAGTTATCCCTGACCCGAGTTACCCCTGATGATTCGGGGCTCTGGACGCCCGAAATATCCGGGGCAACTCGGGTCCGGGGTAACTCGGGTTTGGGTTCCCGAAAAACGAACCCGAGTTATCCCTGACCCGAGCTACCCCTGATGATTCGGGGCTCTGGACGCCCGAAATATCCGGGGCAACTCGGGCCCGGAGTAACTCGGGTTTGGATTCCCGAAAAACGAACCCGAGTTATCCCTGACCCGAGTTACCCCTGATGATTCGGGGCTCTGGACGCCCGAAATATCCGGGGCAACTCGGGTCCGGGGTAACTCGGGTTTGGGTTCCCGAAAAACGAACCCGAGTTATCCCTGACCCGAGTTACCCCTGATGATTCGGGGCTCTGATGAATTGTGTCTGTGTGTTTCTTCCCCCCCAATCCCCATAGTTTCCCCCCCAAATCCCCATAGTTTCCTATCCCCCCCCCCCAAATCCCCATAGTTTCCCCAAATCCCTATAGTTTCCTATATATATTCCTGGGGCTGGACGATGAATTGTGTCTGTGTGTTTCTTCCCCTCCCGACTCTGGGAGGGCGCCCGCGGCGCACCGGCGCCGCGCGGGGCCGGGGGACCGCCCCGGCCACGATGCAGTCCAGAGATGCACGTTGCGGGCGGGCGGTGAGGGCGCGAGGCCCTCGGCAGGCCGAAGCCTGGACTGCGTGGGCGGCGGGCGGCCTCCTCCTCCTCCTCCTCCTCCTCCTCCTCCTCCTCCTCCTCCCCCTCCTCCCCCTCCTCCTCCTCCTCCTCCTCCTCCTCCTCCTCCTCCTCCTGCTCCTCCTCCTCCTCCTCCAGCGAAGACGGCAAAGGATGGGCCACGGAGGCGAGGACACGAGGGTGCCCCAGATGCAGGCTCGCGTCCCTGCCAGGCGCGACGACTGCACAGCACACTCACGAGGGAGGACGTCTGGGGGGGGGGGGAAGGGACCGGCTCAATCGGGAGCGGCCAAGAGGGGGGTGTCGAAAGAAGGAGGGGTGCAAATCATGACCGGCGGCATGTGCGCGGCCCAGCGGGGGGGCCAGGGACGTAATGAAATAAGGAGAGGCGCCATGAAATCTGGGAAAAAATCATGGCCCCCGACATGATATCCACCCCCCCCCTAGTCATCACCCCCCTCTTTGCCGCCCCCGGCTCAATGGGGGGAAGCATCGACCGGGAGTCGGCAGTGCATCGCCGATGGATGGGCGATGGGCCCTCGGCAGCGACGTCCCGACGGCCACGGGCGGGGTGGGCTGTCAGGCCCCTGTCGGTGATCCATGGGCGACGGGGGGGCCCGGGGACACGCAGACGAGAATAGAAAGGCACGAGTCTCAGGATGCCCAACACTCTTCCGCACCCGGGGACATTTCCAACGTCATTTCCGACGTTTTTCGGTACCCGGGGACAGGGGGGTATAGAAAACTCCACTTCCGGAGCCCCGACCGCCCAACACAGCCCAAACATCGCCGAAACGTCGCTCGAACCGCCCAAGATGCCCCGAAGACATCTCGCTCTCAACCCCGCCGGATCGGCGGCACTGGCCGGAGGCCCGCCCAATAAAGGCGCGAGTCTCAGGATGCCCAATACTCTTCCATGCTTTCTGGATGTTCGTCGCAATTCCCCATTAATTTCCAGCATTTCCCTGGGAGACGAAGCTGATTGTAAAGGGGCCCTGGGACACACAAATAAATACACACAAATAAAAAGATTCCCCATATTTTCCTATATTTTCTGGGTTTGGGTCTTCCCCCCCATTCCCATATTTTCCCATGTTTTCTGGGGAATCGACGATTAATTGTGTCTGTGTGTTATTTCCCCTCCTGAGATTGGTCGAGCGCACACCTCGGCTGGAAGAGGCAGGCCAAAGCTTGAGGTAGGAAGGCGGACAAAGTGGGCTGGGAGCAGGCCCGGCAGTAACAGAGCACAGCAAGAGCATGTCGATTCTTGAAGCAGGCAGGCGCTCGAAGCAGATCGGGATCCGAGGGTCCAAAAACACCTGCCTTCCACGACCGAGGGGTACGCTTGTGGATGCCACGACAGTGGACACCCCAACAATCCTATCCTTGAATTGAACATGTGCTCAAAATGTCAGAAACATGCTCTAAACATGTTTCAAACCTGCTTGTTTTCACGTCTAAACCGTGTTTGACATTTGTTTCAGACATCTGGTAAGCACTTGGCAGCATGCTTCCTCTCCATTGTTATGTTGTTTCCATCCTACTTAAGGACCGCATCCCAGAAATAAATTCGAGCACCTGTCGAAACAGAGTCGAGACAGTGTCGAGACAGTGTCGGGCGAGTGTCTCCCAGGGCCCGACACGTGAAAACCCTTGAGGTTCGGTACTTTTTGGGGCGCTCGAAATTCTTCCTGGTGCTCAAGGCTAAAGTAGGTTGGAGCATCATAGCGCTATTGATCGTCCTCCACAAGGGTATGCCACCCTGGCGTTGCCCCCGAGATGTGCACCGACCCCTGGGCCAAAGGTTAAGTCGAGCCTGTCCCCCTAAAAAGGGATTTCCGACGAAAAACAGAAAGCACCCCAAAATGACCCCAAAATGTGAAGACATATCCCCAAAATTTAGCAATCTTGGGACCATGCTTGGGGTATTTTTTTTTTTATAGTTTTTTGGCCGAACATCCCCCTGTAGGGGGACAGGCCCAACTCAGACGTTGCCCCCGAGATGTGCACCGAGCCCTGGGGGCCAAAGGGCCGGCACGCCCAGGCTGGGCCGCTGCGGGCGCGCCGCTGGCGCCCGCCCCGGGCTCCTCCTCCTTGGCGAGGGCCTCCAGCCTCCTGGACGGGTCCTCCGGCGGCGCGCGGGATCCGGACCGGGCGGCAAGGTCAAGTCGGGCCTGTCCCCCTATACAAGGGGGATTTTCGAGGAGAGAAATAACAAATACACCCAAAATAATCCAATGATAATCGAAAAATGGCCTGGGGACTCTTTGGGTTTTTTTGTTCTTGTCTTTTTGGGCTATTTTTTCGGGTATTTTTTATTTTTCGTCGAAAATCCCCCTGTAGGGGGACAGGCCCGACTTAACGATAAGGGGGGCAGGGGGGAGGGGGGATTACAGGGATTACAGCCTTCGCGTAGCGAAAATTGGGGTCTCTACTCGAGAGCCTGCTCGAGGCTCTGTTCGGCTTTGGGGAACAGGTCGCGACCTATCCGATCGAGATAGTCACGACGCGCCCTGGAAATGGGAAGACTGCATGGACTACAGAGACCCCTGAGCTGGGTCGGGGGCAGGGGGAGGGGGGAAGGCTTCTTAGAAGGAGGCTGCTTCGTAGAGGACGCGGGCCTTACATCTATAGACCAGGCCCGCGCCTTCTAAGACCCAGGGGTGCTTCTAAGAATCCTTCCCCCCTCCCCCGGCCCCCCTCTGCGCGTGGCCGAGGTCCGGACCGGGCGTCGCGGCCTTGTTTTCCACTTTCGGCCTCTGGGGGCTCTTCGGGGACTGAGACAACCACCAGAACCACCAGAACAAGGAACCCGCAACGAAAAGCGTGTCCCGGAGTTGTCGGCGGCGGCTCGAACAGGTCTACGCGGTGAACCGCCCGCGAAGTCAGAGGTCTGGGAGGTCTGGGAAAGGGGCAGGGTCAGTGGGGATCTTATTCGGCGTTTCGACATTGGGCGGAAAGGGGGGGGTCTGCCTCCGGACCTTTGCTTAAGGCAACTGTTTGCAACAGTGCGTCCTATGGTGGAGACTCCACCTGCCTGACACAGGCGCTCGAAACAGCTAAGATCTACTCCATGGCGGGGGAGGGGGTGCGAGGGCCCGCGCCGATCGGCGAAACAATACATAAGAAAACGGTCTCTAGAAAGAACACCCCCGCCCAGTTCCTCCGACGGCGTGGCTTCTGCGTAATGCCCCTGTCCCTGGGGCTGCCGACCCCTGCCGCAGGAGCCGGCTTGTCACCCTGGGCAGCTGTCTGACGACCCTGGGGGCTCGAAACAGGGGCCCGCTCTTTCAGGAGGAGACTTCCCCTGGGAGTTGCCCAGAGGCCTCCACCAAAGGTCCCTGGCGGCCACCAGAGGCGTCCGCAGCCCCAACGATGGCCAAAAAGGACCAAATACGTCCGAAGAGCGTCCAAGCTTCTGTCCCAGTGTGCCTTATCGTTATATCGAAATGGTAGTTGAGCGCATGCATGTATACTGTATACCTATTCGTGTGAACGTGTGTGATTGTGTGCGTACATTTCCGTACACGCACATACACACATTTATACATATGCACATGCATGGACGCATGCATGTATGCATACATACATGACGTATGCACCGATGCACACATACATACATGCATATAACCATACATTCATGCACGCATTTATTTATTCATACGTATATGCAACCAACACTGCATCCACACATACATACATTCATACATGCATACATACATGCACACATGCATGCATCCATAAAGACATATATATATATATAGAAATATACAAATTTGTACACACCTACATACATGCATCCATGTATACATCTAGTCATGCATGCATACATGCATGCATGCATGTGTGCGTGCATGCATGCATACATACATGCACCCATACAAACTACATATCTACATACATGCATACATGCATGCATGCACTCATACCTATAACCACACATGCACACATACATACATGCAGCCAGCCATGCATACATACATACATACATACATACGTACGTACGTACATTCATGCAAGCATACATATACACATACATGCAAACGTATATACATACCGACATGCCCACCTGCCTACCTGCTTGCACACCGACCTACCTACCTACCTATCTACATACGGCACATACAGACATACAATATGACACATCTACCTACATACATTCATGCATACATGCATGCAGTGTGCATACATACACCCAGCCAAACACAGCTACACACATACATCCATGTATGCATGCGTCCACGATACGAACATACACACATACATGCAGACACACAGGCATACATACAGACATGCATGCACGCATGCATACATGCATCCATACATACATTCATACATACATATCATGCACCCATACACACATACATACATGCATACACACGCTCATACATGCATACATACATGCATGCATAGATGCATGCATACAGACAAACATACACATGCAGTCATGCATATTTATAACCACATACACACATATGTTCATACGTCCATATGTGCCATGCACATATATATATACATCTAGCTATATCTATACAGAATGCATGCATGCATGCATGCATGCATGTATGTATGGATGTATCTGTTGTGTATATACATATATATGTTTATATATAAGTGTGTTAGTATGAAGAACATCCGCCACCGTTCCGCTGGGCACGGCGTGGGTGCCCTCGGGTCCCTTGCCCCATCCCATCAGCCACAGCCCTCGATCCTACGGGTTCTCCACGGGCCCAGGCTCCGAACTCACCAATCTCATCGGGCTGGGCGCGTGCCCCCTGGGGTTCCCAGGCGGGCCAAGAGGGCCCCAGGACGGGCCACGAGGGCCCAAGAGGCCCCTAGGACGGTCCAAGAGGGCCCCGACTCGCCGAACGATCGCTCCAAGACGCTCAAGATGGCCCCCAGACGGCCCAAGATGCCTCCGAGACGCCCCACGAGGCCTCCAAGAAGCCTCCCAAGAGGAAGAGGGCTCCAAGAGGCCAAAATCATGGATCATCCTGTGTTTGTTCGACGGTTTTTGGCACTCTCGCCTTTTCAGCTTCGTGACGCTACAAGACGGCCCTTGAGGCCCCCAAGATCGCCCCAAGACGGCCGAAGAGGCGCTCAAGACGGCCCAAAGAGTCCCCAAAGACGGCTCCAAGAGGGGCCCAGACAGATGGGGGACCCGACCGGACATTTTTGTTGAGCCCTAGGCCCCGAGGCCCCAACAAGCCCCTAAGAGGCCTCAAGAGGCCCCAAGACGCCTCCAAGAGGCCCCCAAGAGGCCCACAAGAGGCTCCAGACCTGCCCCCAAGAGGCCCTCGAGAGCGCTCCGAAGAGACCCCCAGAGGCATCCCTGACAACTCTGACCCACAACCCACAACCCACAACCCAGCCGAAGGCCATGGGATAGCAAGAGGAACAAAAAGCCTCCCGAAGGAACAAGAAGACAACAGGTGGTCAAAGGCGCTGGCGTCGGGCGCCAGCCCGGGAGCGCTGGTCCCTGCCCAGGAGGAGCCGGAGGCCGGAGGCCGGAGGCCGGGCTCGTGGGGAGCCCATGGGCGCACGGTTCAGGCCCTGCCGCTTCCGACAGAGGCCCCCCCGCCGCCCCGCCCCCTCTCGCGCGCCGCTCGGGTCCTCCTGCGACAGCTCATGGCTGTGCGACCGGTCCTCCTCGGGCTCCTTCGGCCAGCAGGGCGGGGAGGAGGACGGACGGGGAGGAAGGTGATCGATCCGGGTCCTTTTTGGACCTGCTGGGACAACCCCTGGAGGCCTCCGAAGACTTCCGGAGGCCTCTGGAGACCTTCGGAAGCTGGGCGAGGGCTGCTAAAACCGTGGCTGCTAAAACGACCCTCCCGAAGGAAAAAACAACTTCCCAGAATGAGGCGCGGCACGCGAAACAGTCAACGGGCTTCTTCCTGGAAGGACGAAGACAACTTCCCGGGGGGCGATTTTAGCAGCCACGGATTTAGCAGCCCTTGCCCGGCTTCCGAGACCTCTTGGAGCATCTGGAGGCTCCCAGAGACCTCCGGGGAAGAGGAGGGCGAGCGCTGGAGGGCGCACCTGTGACCCCTGGCCTCGCCAAGCTACCCGGAACCCACCGCTGAGGCTCTCCACGCTCTCCGCATGGCGGCCAGCTTGCTGTGGGTGGCCAATGTGGTCAGACTCCTCTTCTTCTCCTCGTCCTCCCTCCTCTCCCTGCTACTCTGGAGGCCTCACGGGGTCCCAAAAGGTCTTCAAATTACCAAAGCCTTCCAACAGCCGTGACCATCTCCCTCCTTCTCATGCCTTCCCCTCTGCTGGGTCGACGGAAACTGATTGAGTCCCACTCGGGGACGCCAGTCCCAGGGTAGCTGGTTATATCCGCGATCGTGCTTTGAGCACGTGGTGGAGTGCCCCAAGGCTCCTGCAGTTGTTCGTCGTACAAGGACTTTCGGGCTGTAGGCTTCTCTTGGGCCTCCAAGGGTCTGCCGGCGCGCGCCAGGCGAGCTTTGGGGGCCCCAAACGGCTCCAAAATGGCCCCTCCCCCGAGGATCGCTCCAAGACTCTCAAGCTTGCCTCCCGACGGACCAGGGCGCCCCCCAGACGCCATATAGAAAGGGCTCCACGGGGCCCCCAAAAGAGGCTCCGCGAGTCCGAAGGATCGACTTCCCACAAGTTTCTGCAGGATTGTGGCGCTCTCGCATTGTTCTGGCCCGGGACCCACAGAGACGGCCCAAGGAGGCCTTCTGACGGCTCAAGATGCCCTGAAGAGGACCCTGAAGAGGGCCCTGGGCCCAGGAGGGCCCTGGGCCCACAGAAGGCCCAAGGGGACCTTCTGACGGCCCAAGGGGACCTTCTGACGGCTCAAGGGGACCTTCTGACGGCCCTGAAGCTGGCGCTGAAGAGGGCCCAAGAGGGAGAACCTGAACTGACATTTCGCGCCCTCCAACCCAAGATGACCCCCGAGACCGCCAGTAGGGCCCAACGAAACCCCCAGAAACAACTGAACGGCCCGACGAAGCCCAAATCAGGCCCCAAGAAGCCTCCAAGCGGCCCCCGAGAGGACAAACGACAACTCCGACATCGCCTCCAAAAGGCCCCCCAAGAGATCCTTACAGTCATTTAGGAATCTGACCTACAACCCAGGCGCGGGGGCGGGAGGGGCCGAGACCCCCGAGCCCTCCCGAGGACTCCAAGGCTCTGGAGAACCCCGTGTTCTCTGCCAAGAGGAGAAGGGCAAGAAGACACGAGGAAGGGAACGCACGCGCAAACGGGGAACGACAAGTCGAGTCGACCGGACTCGAAAGCACATCGCGAAGAAGGGGGATGAGGATGGAGGGAGGGAGGGGAGGGGAGGGGGGGACAGATGACGTCGAAGACGAAACAAGGGACAGGGACAGGGAGGGGAGGGAGGGAGGGGAGGGGAGGAGAGGGGAGGGGGAAAACAAATGCACAACCATAAACGTTTGGCCATCCGCGCGGATCTCTTGGATCCGCGCTGCGGCATCGGAGGCGCCGCCGGGGGGGGCCCAGAGCGGAGCCAAGAGATCCGCGCGAAGCGCCAACTGTTAAATTAATGCGCGTTTTGTTATACCACGACTTGGCGGAGAAGGGGGATGAGCAGGGAGGGGGGGAGGGGAGGGAGGAAACAGATGAGGAGGGAGGCAGGGGAGGCAGATGAGGAGGGAGGGGGATGAGGAATTTGGAATTGCGTCCTGATTCGCCGAGGGGGCTGTCAGCTTGGTGGGGGGATGAGGGAGGGAGGGAGGCATGGGAGGGGAGGGGGAGGGAGGGGAGGGAGGGGAGGGGAGGAGGGAGGGGATGGAGGGGAGGGGGGGGAGGGATGGGAGGGAGGGGAGGGGGAGGGAGGGGAGGGAGGCAGGAAGCCCGAGGGAACGGATGCGACCAAATGCGCCAGAGACCAGCCCCGTGACCTCCGTCGGGAGGGCCACTCGGTCCTCCGACGTCGTGCTTTTGCGTGGCTGGAGCCCCTCGGGGGGAGAAGGAGGGAGGGGAGGGGAGGGAGGGGGAGGGGAGGGGAGGGAGGGGAGGGAGGGGAGGGAGGGCGGGGAGGGAGGGAGGGGAGAAGGGAGGGAGGGGAGGGGAGGAAGCCCGAGGGGACCGAGGCCACCAAGAACCAGCCCCGTGACCTCCGTCAAGAGGGGGCCACCTGGTCCTCCGACGTCATGCTTTTGCACGGCTGGAGCCCCTCGGGGGGGCATCCCGGGGGCTGCTTTTCGCCGAGCGCGGTTCTCTAGTGGCCGGGGGGGGGGAGGCCCGTGACGGATCCGTCAAGAGGGGCACCCGGTCCTTCGACGTCGTGCTTCTGCATGGCTAGAGCCCCTCGGGGGGCATCCCGTGGACTGCTTCTCGCCGAACTCCGCTTTCTGATGGCCCGGGGGCCGAAAATATCCGCTGGACGCCGAAATCGTGAACCAGTAAGAGTCGAGACCGTGTTCGCGGTGCGTTCGACATCTGGGTCGGCAGAGACCCCTTCAGGATCAGCCTCAGGGCCGGCTCCGAAACGCGTCCGGGCCAACATGTCGAGGTGGATCCAGCTGTTGCGACGAAGGCCCCCCAGGGCAGGATCGATCGGCATATCTTGTGGGCAAACAAACCTACCTCGCTTGTGACCACCCTCGCTTCCAAGAGATACCAAGCGATGCCAAACTGCGGCTTGTGCTGGTCAGGCCGCTTGACGAGGAGGCGCATGGTACGACCTGGTTCTGCCTGGGAGCGAAAGCGGGGTAGGTAATTCACGCTCTGAAGATCGGATCGAATCGACAAGTGCGTCGCATCGGGCCGCGTCGGCACGCGGTCGGCATCGGGCCCGGATCGGCCGGGCCAGGACGCGCAGCGACGCCGTGCGAGCCTCGGGCCGCATCGGATCGCCTCAGGAGCCGCGAGAAGCCTGTAGACCCCCCCCCAAGAAGGTGGGAGCTGATATTCGCTCGGCAGCCTCATGGAAGGACCGGGGGGTCCCACCAGTAGGGGGTCACTAATACTTGCTTTCCGCGGCACCCGCCGCGCGGCAACGACATCGACAGCTACGACTGCGACTGCGACTGCGACTACGACGGCTACTACTGTGTGTAGGAGGAGGAGAAAGGGTTACGCAATCCTTTACTCGCGGGAGGTGGCGGGGAGGTTCATTCATCGACGGGGAGGGGTACAGTACTTGCACAAGCTTGGCACCAGACCGCCTGCAGTACTTAGTCTCCATTGTTCAGTGTCTTCCCTGCTCATTGTATTCAGTTCAAGTTCGTGCTCCGGTCCCTCCCCCCCCTCCACCGTGCGGCCTGGCGGGCGCAAAATTCATGGCCATGGGGCCCTGCACTCTTTTCGCGTCTCGCTGCCTTACCTTTTGCCAGCTGCGCCCGTCAGGCTCAGGTACGTAGTCTGCACTTTGCCTGAGACGACATGCTGCATGTGTTTCGCACTCACTCACTGATGCCAGAGGCTTGCTCGTCAAGCCCGACCAGCGTCAAAAAAGCAGGAGGAGAAGCAGCAGGAGGACAGGAGGAGCAGCAGCATCAGGAGGAGGAGAGGGGGGAGGAGGAAGAGAGGGGGGAGGAGGAGGAGGAGGAGAGGGGGGGGGAGGAGGAGGAGGAGGAGGAGGAGGAGGAGGAGGAGGAGGAGGAGGAGGGGAGGAGGAGGAGGAGGAGGAGGAGGAGGAGGAGCAGCAGAGGAGGAGGAAGAGGAGGAGGAGGAGGAGAAGAAGGAGGAGGAGCAGGAGGAGCAGGAGGAGAAGGAGGTCTTAGGACCAGTCCTGTTCACCGCGGGGTGAAAAGGGGTGACCCCAACAAAGGACCCTTTGCGGTTCTCGGAACCGAACGGGATCGGACTGGCCGAGGTCGACATCGGATCAGATCCATCGGATCGAAGTGGATCCTGCCCCGAGGGGGGCACAGAAAAGAAGACCCTCCCTGCAGGTCTGCAGGCGCCCCTGCAATGCCCGGAGGGCTCTCTGGAGGCACCCGGCGGCCCCTCCCGGGGCTCCCGCTGCGGGGCAAGAGCGCCCAGGGACAGGGGGACAGCGAGCCCGTGGTGCTCGCACCCTCGCTCCTCCATGCTCGATCCTCGATGCTCGAACCCGCGCAGACAGCCCCTCCATGAAGGGGCCCCAGGACACACACAAATAAATACACACAAATAGAAAGATTCCCAATTTTTTTTCCTGCAGTTTCTCTGATCTTGTCTTCCCCACCACTTCCCATATTTTCCCATATTTTCTGGGGAATCGACGATTCATTGCGTCTGCGTGCTTCTTTTCCTCCTGACTCCAGTAGTCCCAGCTGGCCCGAAAAGGCTCCCCCGGGTGATCAGTCCGGAGCGGGCTCAACACCCCGAACCCTGGGGCGCGGAGCGCCCCAGGCGCCGCCGGAGGCGGCGCCGGGGTCTCGAAACCGCTGCAGACTGCTCGGGGGGCCTGTGGAGGCCAGGCGGGACTTCTCGGGGGGCCGGCGAGGTCGGCTGGGACTGCCCGGGGGGGCTGTTTGCGCGCAGCCCGAAGCCTGACCATTCAGCGAGCCGCGCCGCAGGAACCCTCTGAGCATCGCTTCTCCGACCCCTAACCTCATGGGCGTGACCTGGGGACCAGTGGTCCATTTACCCCCCTGGACGGGAATGCAGGCTGTTTCCTTCAGGTTTCGAGGCGTACATCCTCAAGTGGGGTGCCGAGATGGTGCGATCTGGAG